AGTTGAATGGCTGAATGGTTGGCAGTTATTCCTATTGATGGTATATTGTATGTATTGTCTTTGTGTATAAATAATTGCTGCTAGACCTCTGTATATGATCAACCTTTTCCACTCTTATATTCAATAGTCATCAATATAGCAGATCTATAATATATATCTGTCTTCTTCACGTTGGACTTAAAGTGCTATCCTACATCCACCCAAGTTGACTGTTACACCCATTGTGACAATTCTTAGACTTCTCATAACCTCGTTATTACAATAAGAATAGAATAACAATGAATTTACATACATCAAGTTGTCTTTGCATCTACTCGTCACGTACGTGATACATAACCCATCCAACAATTATGGAAAGTATGATGGGCAGTTGGATTGAATTAGGTATATAAGAGAGCTTACTATTAGGATATTCAGGGGGACTATTCTCAACACCTGTCAGTGGTATCCCCTACGAACCTCCAGCTCTCACTGTAGAGTCTGCAGAGCCGAGATTGAGTAACAAAGCCCTCACTTCCACGAAGATTCCCAATGATTTCGCGGTCTGTATCGTCTTCGTCTCTCAACACATCTCCCTATCACCATTATCATGAAGCTAACCACGATCAGATCAGATGGTAGGGTCGGAGCCCTACTCATCACCAACCCTTGATCATGGAGGAAAAGCCATCCGATGAGGTTCCGGAGCGTACCCAGCACCCGATACGGAGATGGTGGATTGGATCAAGTCGACCTCGAATGTTACAAAGAAGGGAGATATAGATGAATATGCGCACCTCATGTGGTCCCGGTGTCTAGGCCTCGCCTAGCTGGGGCTGCAGGTTTTTTGAGACTCTTTCCCGCGCACGCAGTTTCCATTGCTACCATTTTTATTTTTTTGGGTAGAAGGTTCTGTGGAAAAGGTGGCCGAATCCCACGGGTAAATACTGAGCTGAATGGCTATTCATCAAGGGGAATATATCAATGATCTTTCAAGTAACAAAAGAGGATAGGAGCGCTGTACAAGGTGCGGCCTGGGTCAGAGAGGAGCCCAATATGCTAGATAGTCATAGACTCAAGTAGCACAATAAACACACACACTCCCTATTAAGATATTCAGACATCACGCAACGTCTTCTGAAAATAAATACACTTTCACTTCTATTCCTCATCTTTTCCTTGGGAAGATTATTGCACCGCACTATTGCCTTTGGCTCCTCTACTTCCCTCAATTAAGTTTTCGCCTCAGACATTGTCGTTTGATCTCTAATCTACTGACTATCTCATTTCCTACCCTGTAGAACTATCGCTACATCAAACTCCTTGAGAGGTAGTAAATGATAGGACTAATATTGATGAGGAGTCTTTGAATACAGAAATGCATGTGTTTGCCTTAGACTTCCATTCGGATGCGATTCCTCTTGACCAGCTCAGTATGAAAAGCATGCTGAGTGTTTGACCCGGCACCAATTGAAAGTGAAAATCGTCTTTGCCGGCTGTCATAGACATCAACTCAGTAAAGACATCAAGTTAAATATGATATATTCTACATCATATATGATTTTATCCTTAGATTCGGATAAGCTCAGGGTCAGCTCAACGATAAGTGGCTGGTGACATAGGACTACTTCATAAGTCTTTAACATATGTCAACCTCGGTGAGTGTCAAGATGTCGAGTTATCAATAAGTCGAGATGTCAAGATGTCAAGAGGTCAAGATGTGAATGAATTCAATGTTATCGAAAAGGTTCCTAAGAATGCAAGACCATAATCTACCGAACCAAAGTTATCCCAAGCCGGCAAAGACGAATTCTTCACCTTCCAGTGGTGCCGGTGTAATCGCTCAGTATGCTCCGCATATCTGGGATAGCCAAGAAGAATCGCATCCGAATCGAAGTCGAAAGCACACACATGTATATCTCCATTTGACGACTTCTCAACCATGCTACACTCATCATTATCTTCTGAGTCCTCAACCCCGATCTAACCACATATCAACTCGCCTCGCTGACCGATAAAGGCGTCACCCCAATTGCAAACAGGAGCTTGCCTTACTCATTACCGGCCATCACTCTCTACATATTTACGACGCTATTTATACCCGCAAGGATCAGTAGGGACTTAAATTTAATTCTATTCTATTCTATTCTACCCGCAAGGAGGAAATCAAGTCGAAAAATACAAAGTTGGGGTCTTGGTTTATGGGGGACTGCTGCCCTAATGGGGTTATACATCTTGAGGAAGAACAAGCGGCTGAGATGTGGAGCGAGAGGGGGAAGAGGTCTCTGAAGACCATGCTGGGACTGACATTTTCGAGTTTTCAACTTTGGAATTTTTGTGGGCGCCAAAACTAAGATTTTGGCTAATTAGCCAGGAGGGCTTCTTTTGTCGATGAGTCAACGGCACTCCCCAGCGCCCTGGACGGTACAAAAGAAGTCAGGCTAAGCTACTATACAGCAATCACGCTCTGTCAAGACTTTTCTGACATTTCAGCACGACCTTCGGGAAGGAGTTGGAAGAAGGCTGGAAAAGTAGAGGGTGAATTTTTCTAGGTACCCACAAGTCTGCAGCGCCCAGCTGGCCGGCCTCTTCCAATGCTTCAGAAGTGTCGCTATGTCTTCGGATCTAGCCCTAATCTCGATATTAGGAGAGGTCCGCACCCAGTGATTTTTGGGATTTTTCCCGGCTGCCATACACCCGCAAATGGCTACCTTTTCTTTGACTGGAGAGGGGAGATGATGAAGGGCTAAGGGCTCCTCTAAGTGTATGATCGAAAGAGGACTTGTGAGGGGAGCTGTATGGGAGGCATAGGAGGGGATATACTACTGGTATAGGTATCCTTGGCCTGTAGGCAGAGAGGACCTGCATGTCCTACATAGTCATAGACTCAGACAGGACAATAAAATGAATTAATAATAAAATATAATAATAAGGTTATCCCAATTACCCATTATATAATCTTCTCTATTTTTCTCCAACTTTCCAGTATACTCTAATACAGAATAGAATAGAGTAGAATAGAATAGACTAGACAAGTGTAGATCGGAACAGAACTGTTCCAGGATCTAGTGCACAAACTCCTGCCGTTCACTGTGTGCAGCCCATATATAATGCTGGCCTTAGGTTCCGCTTAGTCATACCCCTGTAAAAATATCTTTCTTTTCCGTATGCTCTTATTCCACTTTATAGTTTTTTCTTTTTTGCATCAGATTTTAATTGCGTATGCAGCCGCTTTGTAATTATTCATGCGTTATCACTACTTTAAGAAATCAGAATAAACTTCGTATATTTCGATCGATCGATTAGATCACGACCACATTCCGTGACAAGAATAGATTAGGGTAGAATATAGTAGAATGACATACATATCTTCGTACATAGTTCCTATTAATTTAGAACAGGCCCTTGGTCCGTGACAGTGAGTCGAGCTTGTCAAATCATACTGTGCATAGATACAAGGCTAAAGAATAACGTTACTGTTGGTATAAATGTCCTAACCTCACTTTCCAATGCTAGTCATAGATTAGTCATCGTTCATTATTGTTGGAATTTAGAATAATTGGGGCTATCAAGTGGGCCACGTTGCTGATATACACGTGACTGCAAATTCTGTAGATTGGATTAGATTAGATTTGTATTATATTCCTACCTGAGTCAATAACTAAGGAGGACTCCGAGAATCTACAAATAAGATACTAGCTACATGTTTTAAGTTCCAATTGTTTAACTTTACGCTTTGCTCTCATGGAAAGTGAGGGACAAGCCCTGGGCATCACTTGCAGATTCGGTACTTAATTTCACTTCGGTAGTTACTTGAATCAATGCGCTCTACAACATCAATGACTGAGAGGTCATTATTACCTTAATAAATATGACAGAACAAGATTGGAAGGCTTTAGAGGCCAAATGGGATGAAGGAATCAATCTCAGCACGGCAACTCATGATATCAGTTCCTACATAGAAACGAAGATTAATTTCTCCGAAGAAGACAATACTACTAACTGAAATCTATGGGAACAATACCAAGATGACTCCGCAACCTTTATAGTAGCTGCTTTTAAAAGCCCTGGACTCAAACTTATTCAACAACTACGAGACTGCTTCTTAAGAAGAGGATATTTCGTAGATCGCAACACAAATAGGCTCACTATTTCACAGGCACTTTACAAGTGCGCAAAGGAAGAAGAACGGCATAAATGGTCTGACTGTGATGCTATCGATGCCGCTGAACAGTTAGAGGAGCCTCTGAAATCAGTAAAGCTGAAACGACGTCTAGATGCAATCCAAGTAGATAATATAATCATGGAGAAATACAGCGACGATGGCAGCGAGTTCAAGACTGAAAAACCCTCCGACCTGCAAGTACCTCTACAACCGATTTTGCCCGATTCAAAAGTACCATCTTCACAAACCCCGCAAAGAGTACAGGCTCTCGGACCGACGTCACCAATACCTCCTCCTACGTACGTTGCGCAGATGTCGAACTCGATTAAGGTTTATTCTGGCGAGGCAAAACACGAAGGAACTGGGGATAGTATAGATCACAAATTGACGAATTTTCACCACCTCTGTGATCTCACCGGTGTAGCCAGAGAGGCATCTGCAAGAGCACTCGCAGTAATGCTGTCAAGGTTCGCAAAAGAGCACTACCTCGCAGCAAATCCATCGTACTTAACTTTTGAGCAAGCAGCTAACCATCTTCGTAACTTCTTCGAAGGTCCTGGTTACAACCGAAGAAATCTGGGCACATGGAACGGATCATCTTTAAAGTTGATTGTGTCGCAAAATAAAGCTAAGCCAACATCCGAGTGTCTGCAAATCATGGTCCAAACACTGAGAGAGATCCAGCATGGCCTAACAGAAGATCTTGGAATCAACTCCTTTATGCACGACAAAATTATTACTGCGTTCAAGGGCGTTCCAGCTTGCAGATAAGTCATTGTGAACCCGCCATCAAAAGTTGGTGAACTCTTGAATCAACTACAGAATTCTATAATAGCTTATGACGGACAAGAGATAAATGATCAATTCATTGTCAACCAAGATGCATTCTTCACGGACAGACAATATCACCAAAAAGGTCAAGCACAAACCAGTAAAAATAAAACGCGAAGCAAGATATATCATGTACGTGGCAAAGAAGAATGTCGTTCGTGGAAGCATACCGATGAACAACACAAAAGATCTAAGACAAAGTCTCGAACTTCATTTAAAGAAAAGCTAGGGTCCAGATTTGCTGATGGAAATCGCTTCAAAAAAAGATATCAACAATATATAGTCGACTGTGAAGGTGATGATGAATTTTACGCAGATAGCGACGAATTTGAAGACGGCTTTAAAGCTTTGGAGATTGAAATACATGTTGATAACAACAATGCTCGAGAAATAGACGAAACAGACGTCTTCTTGACTTCATTCGACGACAACAGTTGCACTGCTACTATATCTACAATGTCAGAAATAGCAGCAAATTTATCAAACAGATCCTTCATTCACGCTCTCACTACCACCAAAAATGTTGCGTCTATTGAAAGGCTATGCTGAGCTGGAATGACGTACCGTTAGGATGAAGGTATGGAAGGAGGTAGCTATGGCTTTAAGAGAAGTAAAGTTCGTGAGTTATACTCTTAGGACTTGGATCAATGGACGAACTTGAGGATATTCCCTAGTATTCTCAAGTGTGTAAATAATATGGAGATTGTTTAATTTCCTATTGTATAAATTGCTTAAGTTATCTACGTGACAGGACCTTCCTCTATATACATGAATAAGGGAGTTCTGCACACTAGTGGATGTTCCAACATCTGTCCTTGTGTAACCGAGAAAAGAAGGATGTGAGAGATCCTAGCGCCAATAGATACCATTAGGAATCTATTGGGAAATACTATGTCATACCAATGAGTGATGATCTAGGTCAATCATATCCCATGGCGTATGTGCACATTATTCTAATGTGAACAGTTTATTGTAATGCAGTCATGTTACTCCCTTAACTACAACAGCGTCTAGTTCCTCTGAGGCTGATCCCTTTGCCTGTAACACATCTCCTCCTTTTTCACCTCAGAAACATCTATAGGTATCATGATTGACTCAGGGGCTTTTAAGAGATCGACCGCGGGTTATGGCCAATATAATGCACTTCAAAAGCTTAATAATAATTGTTTAAGTTTAAACGAACTTGATATAGGACTAGTGAATTTGCAGTTTGGAATCGGGTCTAGATCATCATTTGGATCGATAAAAGTAGATTCGCCAGTGGGAAGAATTGAATTTCATGTCCTCAGGGCTGGTACTCCTTTTCTACTGTATCTTGCAGATATGGATAAGCTAAAAACTTACTTCAACAATCTGACAAACATTTTAGTGACACCTCATGGAATTGTGCCGGTCGTACGAAGATTTGGTCATCGATTCATGCTCTGGGATAATTCACTCTCGATTTATATATCTGAATCTTTCAACCAATGCCCTTGCTATCTTACCGACATTGAGCTCCAACGACTTCACCGTCGATTTGGCCACCCTTCTATTGATAGGCTTCATCCTATATTAAAGCGCTCAGGACATGGAGATGATAATAAACGCAAAGCCCTGGAAGCAATCACACGGTTTTGCAAACATTACCAAAAGTATTGTAAATCGCCCGGACAATTCTATTTACATTAAAAGGGTATGTTCAATTTAATTACTGCATCTTTGCTGATGTAATGTATATTGACGGAAATCCTCTCCTACGTGTCGTTAATGAAGGCACAGGATTCCAAGCTGGTAGGTGGTTAACGAATATGGCTGCCAAGAGTACTTGGGATACGCTATGTGATTGCTGGGTTAATACTTACGTGGGACCACCGGATATAATCTCACATGACGCTGGTAAAAATTGCTAGAAGGGAATTCCAGCAGTGTGCCATTAATTTTGGCTCTACTACAAAGAGTGTGCCGGTAGAGGCTCACAACTCCACAGGTGTAGTCGAAAGATATCACGGCCCCCTTCGCCGTATCTACCAAATAATCACAGCAGAAATTCCTGGCATCAACAAAACTTTAGCCTTGCAAATGACTTTCAAAGCTATAAACGATTCCATGGGACCTGATGGGCTGGTTTTTACCCTCTTGGTATTTGGTGCATTTCCACGTATGATTAAAGAAGATGCTCCCTTGTCCACAGTGACACAAAGAACGGAAGCCCTTCGTAAAGCCATGAAGGAACTAGAGCAAATTGTTATAAAGGTAAAAGCTTACAGAGGTTAATTAACAGAAGGTTTGCGGATAATTATTGATGAATTAATGTGAACTGCTAATATATTTGGTATTCAGAACTATGAGTATTTAGGAGGTAGAAAGAGCTAATTACATACACATCTGAGGTAGCCAGACTCTCGCCTTATTTACCCAAAACAGTACCACGGAATATTCTAGTCTCCTCCATCTGGTAGTATAATATAGAAACACTTTCTATACAGTGCTCCATTGTTCCTCTACTCATCATGGAGCCACCTGGAAAGTTCTTCCTTCACCCTCAGTGATTATTACCCTTGTGCATCGTAATCCTAGCCATCACCAGCATAACACAAATCCGTACCACACGATAAGTCAATGATGCACTAAATATGAGAAACGGTCCTTTTATTACGGCAATACATGCCTTGCCGCTCAACTCGCCAGTGATGGTATGGAGAAAAGGTAATGCAAATCAAGCGGGGAGCTGGACTGGCCCCTAAAAACTTTTAGACGTCAACAGTGAAACTTGTACTCTTGAGCTACCCAGTGGACCAACCAAATTTCGGAGCACAAGTGTCAAACTGTACTTAACTGAAACAACAAAGCTGGTTCCGGACAACGGTGATTTTAGAATTCCTTCAATAGAACAAATAAAATCCTCTTCAGAAAATGACCCCCTTGCAGATGATTCACTAAAGTCTGGAGGACCCAAACGTCAAGTCAGCAGACCTCGCCGGTACTTCACTGAAGTAAACGCAGCAATCGTATTAGCATACTTTCATGAGAGCGGTCAGTTTAGACAGTCTCGCCAGAAAGAAATTGCTGGGCTATTACAGAAGAACGTCTTCGAGTTGGTTGAAAACAACAATATATCCGCTGACACTGGAGCTTTCAATTCAAGATTTGTTGACAAAGTAAAGCACAAGGGTACTAATAATGCCTTCGAGAAATCAAGACTTGTTGTCCAGGCATATAATGACACTGAAAAAGAATCTATCTTAACTCAATCTCTGTTAGAGTATAGGGAAGACTTCGGAGTAAGAATTGCCTGAGAACGGTGAAGAAGTTCAGTTTGCTTAGTTGACTAATAGACCACAGGTATTATGATATATATAGTGGAATTACAAGGAAGAGAGGTTATCCAGAACTGACTCCACTGCAGAAATGAGTGGGACCCAGACCAGAAAAGAATTATCCACTGACTCAGAATACTGGGTTTTGCAATAGAAAATACGAACAAATCAATGACTGGATTTGTTCGGGAAGAATGGGATTCAAGCAGACTCAAACATTGAGTTTGATTGGATCAGAAGTATGGGCTCCTGCCCGAACTCAGAAATATAGTTCAGGCAAGATGCATGCAACCACGTTGGTCGATAGAAAGAAAAGCAGGAAACTGTGTTGGAAAATATACTCTCTATGATATTATATGGATAAATATGATGAAGTAAAGAAGACTTGATGTTTTACAACTATGTGAACATTGGACTTATATATACATATTAGGGGAGAAATTCCCACTAGTCTCCTTTTTTTTTTTGCATCAGATTTTAATTGCGTATGCAGCTATCTAGCTATGACACAATATCAAAGAAAAGTATAGCATAGATGATTCAATTTAAAAGTAGAGCACTCATGCCTCAGATTTCATTTGCAAGTACCACTGCGAAGTTATGGCGGCTTTTTCTTCACCCCAAGTCAACCCTCATCCGTGAATACCCACCCAGGGGAACATCTCAAAAACCCTGAGTTACCCAGACATGCCTCCGTCATCCATCAACTTTTCTCCGCGCGAAATGTAATCTGAGATGTCTCCTTCCCAAGTGGAGTAGGTGCCCAGGCTACTCAAACTATATCAGAGAACACCACCAGGAGGCGGACCTTAACACCTTCCATCGTCGGCTTGTTTTTATAGTGTCAGCTGCACTCTCGCAAGCGAAGTCTTGGCGCGCACAAAGCCCAATTCGTAAAACTCCTTGCCAAAATTCGGAATCTCATGCCCTTCGAAGTTATATCCTTCCTCCATATCATCTTGTCAACTTGTCCTAATACCTCTCACGTCCATTCCAAAGAACTGTCTCCAAGATTTGTGCGCCACGCTTTGCTTCCTCCGTCGGGTATAAATATCGGCGTGGGCGTGTATTTGATGACCAGCTGAGGCCAGAGAAGGTCAAAGAGTGGTGTGGTCATTGGAATGAGGATGTACTTGGTCGTACTTGTAGACTCGATGAGACGAAGATAGGAGTCAAACTCGTTGGGAGCGAAATAACGACGCGGATGAGTAATTTGGATCTTTGCCTCGTGGGCCAACTTCTTTGATATTGCGAAATTTGACTGAACTTGGCTCTGGGAGAATATTTCACTCCCAGGTTCGTAGAGGACACCGCGTACAGGTGTTCAGTCTTGCCCTCCTCCCACTAGTCTCATGTGCCTGTCAAACCTAGTGATGACCAGCCACCTCTCATATACCATGATGATCCAAGGTACACTGTAGTACGTAAATATCCAATTGTAAATGCAACAGTAGGCGCGATTAGCGCACTCGTGACATGTGTAGAGAGAGTCGATCTTGTCGGGAACCTGAGACGAAACAGGAAGTGGTTGAGTCCCAAATTCGAGAGTCAGAATTTCCAACAAACTGCATTTCCAACAATCTCCGACGATTTAAAGGGTCAGCTAAAGGCTTATTTTCTGCATGACATCTTCAATTGCGGGAACAAATCTTTATATACGTGATATATCGCAATCATACGTACAATCCACCCCCAACTTGAATTGCGATATATATATTCGCCTTCCGCATGAGCTGAGAGCCGAACTATGTATAGAAAGAGGCATGTTGTTGAAAGTCGTTAAGCCTCTACATAGAATATCAGAAGTATATAATCACTGGTTCCGTACATATCACAATCACCACACTAAGGAGCTTTGCATGAATGCATCAACTTTCGACCCAAGTCTCCTCTGATGCCATAACCCAGACCAGCTAGGAATTGTCGGTCT